GTTGTCTCTGCGCATAATATGAACCCATTTGGTTCGAAATAATCCTAAATAAACTTTTTTTTTAAAAATATTGCATTTCGAGTATGCGTCTATCATCTGTTGGTTATGTAAGAGACTTTAGCGCAGTGCTTCGGTAAGGAAATTTTCGAGACTTGCATGTACAGGACAGAATATGGTGGTGATTATATCCAGTGCATACAGAGTAAACCAATAAACCAGCGGTTCATCTGTGGATTTTCCAGCTCATTTTTTCGCGAGCATCTAGAAACATTGGTGTTGTCCACCTCCAACAGGAGATATACTGATTACGTATTCACCATCTTTTAGAAACATGGAGACGCTTTCTGGATCACGTCAACATGCTGCATCTGTGCGAAATCGTAATCATGACGAAATTGGTGTAAAACAAAACGATGCTTTTTTGGCCCACTTATAACGAGAAACGGGAAAATGCAGAATATTGTGGTGTTTCACAGTCAAATACGTACCAACGAATTCGTACCGCTCAGTTCTAACCACATGTGCATACGAAGATGGGCATCGTTGCTGCCACGATACCCAGGAGATATATGAAGCTCAGCTCAGACGATATTTGTATCCAAAATGAAGTGGCGTACGTTGGCAGAGCTTTCAGAAACAGTAGATATTTGAGACAACTGAAAGAAGAAATAATCATGAGCTGTCAGCAGGAACGAGAGAAGAATGTTAAGGCGAAAAGTTACAAAGTCGCCTGAAAGCTGGTAAATGGCTAGCATTCAGATCCCAAAAGACATTGCATAGCCAGCTGATGCACGTCAAAGCTGTCGAACTTAAGTCAGAACAACATGGCTGAATATAAACCCTAATTTGATTGTGGTCTTATTTTTGTTGGAGGAATCGGCAACTCTATAAATCAGAGAAAATATCAACACTTCAATAACCTGACGAAGTGTAATCTGAAAAATGTATTTAAACATGGTTTATTTATTGACAACTCACGCAAATTGGTGATTCGGGTAGCCACGTTTCGGCGCGTTTCTCTCAGGCTTTCTTCATGAAGAACAAGGTTGATTTCCGCAGTTGTTTTGTGGTCCCTAACTGTTCTAATATTTGAAGCCAAAGGGGACCAGCCGAAACGTTTTGTACTGGCTAATCACCCATTTAACCACGTTGCTTGCGTTGTGTATGGATAAACCATGTTTTTGTGCATTTTTTCAGTTTTCAGTGTAATTACCAACGTACGAACGAAATGTTCTATCGTCTTAGACCCGACTAGATGATGCAACGCTAGCATATGCACAACCGCAGTATGTGACAGAGCAGGAACATACGGCAGAGCCGCATTTTGTGAAAAGAAATACAAAATAAACTTTGAGGCTATATAAGATGGAGCAGTACAAGAACAACACTGCAGATTATGATAGAAAGGAATAAATACGTCGAAGGAGAAAGTTTTGAGCAGGAAGCCAAAGGAACTCATGGTAATTCAATGCAACTATGTATGAATAAGGACAATGGTATGGAACGAAGTTCAAACTGATACGAAGTTATGAAGCAGTTTCCACTGTCGTGTCTGTCACCTCCATAGAGAAGTTACCACTTGATTGTAACGATTTATACTCCAATGCAGTCTGTTTTTCGTTAAGTTTTTCCCAGAAAGCGGGTCAATCGTGAGTCGAAACGTTTGAGAACATGTAGTAGATGAATTCGATATGCGGTGCCATTTCGTAAAAAATTTTATATGTTTTAAAGTTATTGTACATAAAGAATTCAGAGACTTCTGCAACACGTCATGCTACGGAATCTTCAGAAATTGAAACCGAGTCATGACTGCTATTTCCTTTATTCATGGTTAGCCAACTCTAACGTTAAACAAAGATTTAAATTTCAGTCCTGAAGATTTTCTGTTTTTGGAAACGACGTGCGTCGACTGCTAACTAAAACTGTGCCATCCTTAAAACAGTTAAATTGGCGACTGTTTTGAATTACATCTTTCGTTTTTAACTGTTATTTAATGTTTTAAATGTTTATACCATTGTTAATATTTATTTTTATTGGTGAATTAATTTCGGTTAAATCTATGGAGTTAATACATTTTCAGTTGATGGCTATATTTTTTGTAAATTGCATATTTGTATTTATGACCAATATACAATTCGTTTTTTAAAACTTTGAATTAACCATGTATTACTGTAGTTAGTGATGCAAGTATGACTGCCCCA